ACTTAGATTGGACGCCTAGTCTAAGTGTCCAGCCCTTTGTTTGTTGCTGTCCAAATTCTATCTTCAGTCAAGTTTGCAATGTGACCACCATTCTAGGTGCTTCACCATCACGATGATCTGCACTGTGAATTGTTGGTATTCAAGGCTGCAGATACGCCTTACTGACAGGTGAGTGTCAACTAGCACGAAACCTAGGTGAACACGACGCTTCCTGTGGGCGATTGCCTCCAACCATCTAATATGGAGAATTTACGGTGCACCGTGATGGCGAGCCACCTAGCATGGTAGCCACATTGCAAACTTGACTGACTGTGATAGAATTCAGGCTACACCAAAGAAAGGACTAGACGCAATACACTGATTATTAACTAGTATCCAAACTAGTGTGGTGCTACTTATACTTCTACTATTTGAATTGATTAGTGTTCAATATTCTGAAGAACTGACTTTTATTTTGTACATGATCTATTTACTTTCTTCCATAATGGAATTATTCCACTTGATATCATCAAGCATGTGGTCCGAGGTTCTATCCCCGGCCGACGCACTCCTTTACATCGCTAAACCAGTAATGAGACTGGTGAAGAGGAAAGGTTGGGCATGAGGCTAGCACCCCATCCTGTAAAAATAATCACCACTGCTACAGAAACGTAACGAAATAAAAAAAATAATGAAAAAAAAACGATATCACACTTAGTGATATAAGTAATATTTATTCACTGTTCATAATTAGGGTGCTATTCAAACTTACAAATTCATTCACATAACCAACTGCGCAAGCTTAAAGTACCTGTTAATCGAATAAGATAAAAAACCTCCGTAACTAACAAATACCTTGCAACATCTGTGAGATCAAGTATTTAACTAACTGTAATAGATGGGCTTCAGTTAGGTATGAAAAATGATTGGCTTGAAAAAGATGATGAATTTAGAAGAAAACTCAGCTATTGTAATTTTTTATTTTTTGATAATAGCTTGATTCCTCATCGTATTTTTGGTACAATTACGGAATTATTCAGCATGTGATATGGGTAGCCCAAATTTTGCAGGCCGACTAATTGACATCAGGTGTGCGCCGACAGAGGATCGAACCCTGGACCATAAGTATGGTTGGCGAAAATTCTAATCCCTATGCCATCGATGCGTCTGCACTAATGCCTGTACGAATACACAATAGGGTGAAATAGAGTTATGCTTCTAAGACGTATTATCGCTAATTTGAGGGACTGGTCGATTACTGAGTGACTTGTTCATCGAATCTTCATCAAACACTTCCATTACTAATGGTGTAACACCAATGCCAGAGATATGGGCGATATTATTACCAATAAAACCAAAGGATAATAACTCAATGGTGTCCTCAGCATATGTTCAATTCATCTTCATCGCCTTCTGTTGGACGATAGGTTGATTCCTTGCACATCACAGCTCGTTCGTCGTTATCCTTTCTGACAGTAATCTGATCTCCAATATCGAGCGAAGACAGCTGTTGATGAATGCATGCAACAGGCTGTTGGAAATGATTTTCATAACTCACATACTCTTAGAGATATGGATCATTTTCTTATGCTGAGTGTAGCAGATTTCGACATTGATTCCAGAGTAATGATTGTCCGTCTTACTTTTTCCAGTCTGGCTGGCTTTAACATTCTTATCTGTTCCATCTGTTTGCTGTTTGCATTAGTGAAAGAGGTGATCGCATACAAATTCCTCCCAATATTAGTGATTGGTGCTTGCTGTTGTTGGTCAGGTAACACCTCTGTCATCACCTCTCTCTACTCCGTGTTCACTTGAAGTACTGTCTTCGCTGCCAACTTGCTGAGTAGCTGGTTTTCGCCTGTAGGTCTTCGAGTTTGTGTGACATTAGACATAAATCACTCACAACGTCCAGATCTCCTAGAGTATTTATTTTGATCTGATACATGCTGTTCTTCCCCCCCCCCCACCCTCACGCGACAACACCGTTTGTCGCATAATACAGTCCATTGCAATTAGAAGTATCATTGATGATAGCATGCAGTCTTGTCTTACTCCTGTCTTCACTTCAAACACCTCGTTGAGGTTTCTGTTTTGGACCATCTGATATGTGGCATTACCACATAGCTGTTGAATGAGGTTGATAAAGATGTGAGCACTGCAAGCCTTAGTGTTGAAGTAGTTTACAAATTACTTTGGATTCAACGCTATCCAAGGGCTTTTTTAAGCCAATGAAATTGAAGTAAAAGCAAAAACGACAGAAGACAAGGACCAGGCAACAGATTTATTCGTTTATTCAGAAAATCAACAGATATTTATAGATTTGTATGTACATTATTATTAGCGTTATTGTTAGCGGAGAAGCAACGTCTTCCGATTGGTTGTTTTCTTGCTGAAGTTTATTCTGTACTGCTTGTGACTGTTTCTTAGAAAGTTAAGCCATATATCTGCGAATTGTATTTGCACACGTTAAGTCTGCTGTGATTGGTTGGTAAGTTCCTCAAGGTTAAGCTTTGTTATTGTTTTTTCTCATGACTGTGATTCGGGACGTAAACTGTTGTCTACAATTTTAGCTTGCAGACACAGCTCTTACCACGGAAGTTTGACTTCCATTCTCTGTTTTGTTCAATGCCGATGCATAGAGTTGCAATTTGATCAGCATATGATTTGCCATTCCTGAAACCATCTTGTTTCTGGTGAAGTTTTGCATCCGGAGCATTTTTCTATCTCTCTGACCTCGAAATAACCATAAATTTAGCTTTCTGATTGCCTGTCAATCACTGTGTAATCATTCTGTCATCGGATTCATCACCTTTTGAAATATTATAATACCTCTAATTAGCTATGAATGGTATTTAGCTCATTAGAATCTTCATTAAGTAGAGCTGGTAGATGTATACAACTTTCAAAAATAGTTATAATAAGAATTTTTTATTCCTTTATGTTCCCACTGGAATATAGGGCTTCAAGCTAGAAGCTTGAAGTTTCTGTAGCAGTGGTGTTTTATTTTTACGGGACGGAGTTGCTAGCCTCACGCCCAACCTCCCTTATTTACTAGTCTTATTACTGGTTTAGCGAGGTAAATAGCTGCGTCGGCAGTGGATCGAACCCCGGATCACATGCGTGGTTGGCTCGCATTCTGCCGATGTACCACCAACTTTATTCTGAGCAAAATGCTTACACACTGTATGGGTTTCTCAGCGTATTTTATTTCATTCAGGATCTTCAAGTTATGTGGTAACCGAAGTATATCGTTTGACAAAATGCTGTTCCATCTGAGGAAAAAAACAATCCTTTAAGATATACCGCTTCATCTCTTTCGAGTAATACATATTCGTGCCTTAAAGCCATATAAAAATGTGGGTAAATACATTTCAAAACCCAAGGACATCATTATCGAATGTTAAAAACAACAAGAAGTGAAGAAAATTTGCCGTATTATGTTGTAAGGAAATTCAAACAGCCCAGTGACTTAAGCAGACCACTTAGAGTGACGCAATCGTTCAAAGTGTTTTTTTTTGTCTAGAAACTCATTCGCCTTGGTGACTAACGGTGGAATCCAAGATGTGCATTTAGTCCTATTTGAGACCCAAACGATAACTGCTAACTTGATGTGCTGGTCCGGCTTGCATATCTTAATGATCTAATGTGCTATGCTGGTTGGAACTAATGTTCCTAGAGGTCATACCATACCAGTAATATTGTTTGGATAGCGATTAGACTAAATGCAGTTACTGTCGTAGTATTAGTTCTTTACATTATGTAGAAGGTCTGTGGGCAGAGTTGTACTGATGGCGAAAAGCAATGCAACAGCATATGGTGTTTCCCTCAAATGATCAGTAAGCCAGCCACTCTGCCTGTCCTCTCTGAAGAGGGGAATTGTGAACATTGGCTGAACTTCCTGTGGTCCGTAGCAGGAAGCAGGATCTTAATATGTACGCAACTCTAAGAGACCATTTCAGATAGGCCGTTTGTCACTCGTCTGAAGCAACTGTTTCCTGGGCTCTGCGGTCATGCAACACACTAAAGTTCTTCCTGTTTTGGGTACACCAAAGAAAGAAACAAACTTCCATGATGTGGACAACCGGGAACTAACAACCACCCACATATTTCCAAAGGCACACAAAGCTCTGCTGGACACCACTCTATTTGATAGAGTGGTACCTACAATTTTAGTTAGTGATGGTATTCCTACTGACAGTCTAACTCTGCACTCATCGTTATAAATGTCAAGTTATCATTCACTAGACTAATACACACATCAGAAACTTGGAGTGTCACGAAAAGCATTTCCAACAGGCTATTGCAGACTTTTATTAACAGCTGCCTTCGCTGGCTCCATACTGCGTCGGTGGCACAGTGGTTAGGACTCTCTCCGACCATGCACATGGTCTGGGGTTCGATCCCCTGCCGACGCACACCCGATATCTATGGTCGGCCTGCAAAATTTGGGCTACCGATATCCATGCTGAGAATGTCATACTTGTACTGAAAATACGGTGTGGCACCAGGCTGTTATCGAAAAGAAAAGAAAAGAAAATGGCCAGAAAGAATAAGTAAAAAGGAACTTTAGCTGCAGAAAAACCAACCAAGAGCCCATTGCTGAGGAGACCTTCGAATGACATCGTTCTGAATGCAAGCCATCGCTCGAGTGGAATCTCAATGGGAAGTGACGAGTGGGTCTTCAGTGCAAGGGTGACACGGAGGAGATCGTGTGAGGAGGAGGTGAGAGATTATGAGTAATCGTGAATCCAGATGAAGAGAACTCCAGGAAATAGAACAAAGTGGAGATGTGTTGTTGTCGCCGTATTTTTTAGTCGGAACACAAGTGAATAATAATAATAACAGGCTACAAAAGCCGCGTCTTATATAACGTCTATCATTTACTAATTGTCTTAAAGATGATTTGTATTCGCCATTCGTTATTTATACTCTGGCCGAGCATTTTGTTCCAACGACGAATAACTTATTAATTATTCCTTTATTTATTCGATAATATTGTATTATTTCTTATCTTTGTATAGTTACAATTGTATGTGGATGGACAGTTAGTACCAAATAATCCTGAATTAGTACAAATAGCTGAGAATATGCCTATGATACATTTGTCGTCTAGAAATCATGAGTATGTGCGTACAACAGTTGGAGCATGTTGGCATGGGCGTAGTTCACAATTCAGTCAACATTTTCTGGTAAATAGTTGCTTTTTGCTTCAATGAATTTATATTTTTTCCTTTTTTTGCATTTTGTAAATTATTATACTATCTCATGTTTTTCATGTGATATTTAATGTTAATATATTGGGTGATGATGCAACAAGTTGTGATATGAGTTTATACAATTGTCGGTAAGGATATCAACGCTGGACTCAGATAGACCACATAGCCAAACTGAGAAGTATGTAGGTGGTACGCATGGAGTTCCCAACCGACGAACCGACAACGGTGATCGTCTTCTCCAATTTCGCTCAGATAATCATCTGTTCCTAGTCAGCATTAACTTTAGGCACAAAGAAAGACATTGTGTAACCTGGCGACCTCCATCACCAAATCAACGCTGGACTCAGATAGACCACATAGCCATAGGGTATCGTTGGCGAGGGTCAGTAGAAGACTGTCGCTCCTTCTGGAACACGTGCGTAGACTCTGATCACGCTCTGGTTCGCGCACGTTTATGCTTACGACTAAATGGACATAAGAAATTGACGGCAGCGAAACAGTTACGTCCCCAACTAGATCGAGACACCGAGTCCTTATTTAAGAAAGAAATAGCGATACGAGTTTCTGAGGTCGACAGCAGGACATCCCCGAGGTAGCCTAGCACAACATACAGTTAGCTGTAGACACAGACGTGAAAGCTGTTAATAAGCTAAAACCTAAAGTTAATAAAAGCCATTGGATCTCTACCGTCTCACCCGAACTGATTGACGCGAGAAGACTTATTCCAGTGAGCTCCGATTATGATGAGGAGCGAAAGGTACTTAAACGAAGACTAACAAAAAGACTTCGCAACGACCGTGAACAGTGGTGGGCGACAAAAGCGAAAGATGGAAAAGGCATCGGCGATTGGCAACACCAGACAACTATTCAGGCTTATCAGAGAAACAGGTGGGAAAAGGCAAATGATAAGCGAAACAATCTCGGAGAAAAATGGCACCATAATTAGCTCCCAGGATAGACGACTGGAGCGCTGGAAAGAATACTATTAGGAGCAGTTTAATTGGCCTACAGCCACACTTAATCTGCCGAACATCCAACACCTCCCTGAATGGGATATAGACACAGATCCTCCGTCCTTAACTGAGGTTACTCAAGCTGTCACCAATCTGTAGCAAGGCAAAGCAGCGGGACCTGATGGATTGACTCCAGAGGTACTTAAGTACAGTGGAGACAGTTAAATGTCTGCGTTAACTGAGGTTCTAGGCAGCGTCTGAGAATCAGAGGAAGTCCCATCGGGTTGGTGTAAGTCACTGATCATCCCGATATACAAGAAGGGAGACAAGTCTTCTTGTGATAATCACAGAGGGATTAGCTTGACTAATATAGTATATAAAATCCTAGGCTCAATAATACTGCGTAGACTAAGTGGTGCTCGGGAGGCACAAACACGAGAAAACCAGGCAGGTTTTAGGCCAGGAAGAGGGTGTATTGATCATATCTTCACCCTTCGACAGATTCTAGAACATAGGCATTCCTACCGGCGTCCGACAATCACTATATTTCTTGACCTAAAGGCGGCATTCGATTCTGTCGACCGAGAGGTTCTCTGGCGATGCTTGGCTGTGAAGGGAATGCCGAGAAAATACATTGAACTGATTAAGACACTCTACTCGTACTCATCCAGCCAGGTGAGGGCTTATGGCGAGTTGTCATCTGAAGTGTTGACGACTAGTGGCGTCCGTCAAGGATGGCCATTATCCCCATTCCTATTCAACTTCATCATGGATGTACTAATGGACTTAACCCTAACTCACTTCAGAGACTCAGGGATTGACTTGCTACCAGGGAATAATCTCGTCGACTTAGAATATGCGGACGATAAAGTCCTTCTAGGCGAGGACGCTGACAAAATGCAGAGTCTACTGAACACCTTGAGCAACAACCTTCGTATGTTTGGCATGCGATTCGCCCCTGTAAAATCTAAGATGATGTTGCAGGACTGGACTACACGGAGCCTTAGATTAGAAATAGGAAGTGAAGTGGTAGAGCACCTTGACCGCCTTACCTACTTGGGAAGTACCATCAGCCCCAACGGGTTGATCTCCGACGAAATCTCAGCACGAATACAGAGGGCTAGGTTCGCATATGCCAGTTTACGCCGTCTCTGGCGTAGACGTGACATCGGACTATCGACCAAAGGGCGTGTGTACTGCTCAACAGTCCGCTCCGTCCTCCTTTATGGCTGTGAGACATGGCCATTGAGAGCAGAAGACATGAAAAGATTATCTGTCTTCGATCATAGGTGTCTGCGTTCTATCTCCCGTGTGAAGTGGTATAATGAGGTGAGCAATATTGAGGTTAGGCGTCGAGTGCTAGGTAAGGCGGGGAAATCAGTCGACGAGATTGTGAAATTACATCGACCGAAATGGTTAGGACATTTATTTATTTATTTTTGATTTACAGCTTGATTCCACACCGTATTTTCAGTACAAGTGTGGAATTTTCAGCATGGATATCGGTAGCCCAAATTCAGGCCGACCATAGATATCGGGTGTGCGCCGGCAAAGGATCGAACCCCGGACCTTGTGCATGGTCGGCGAGAGTCCTTACCACTGTGCCACCGACGCACATGTGTTACGAATGAATGCCTAGTCATCGCCTTCCTCGACATTGGGCAATGTTAGCTGATATAGGGTCAGGCTGGAAAAGAGCTAGCGGCGGTCAAACGAAAACATGGCACCAGTCAATGAAATCTACAGCAGTTAGTCTAAGCCACGTAGGAAGGTGTAGACTCCCTGGTTGGAGTCCTCGGGACGGTGAAAACCAATGGTTGGAAACAATTGGTGACATGGCTCAAAATCGTTCTCAGTGGCGCAGATGCATCCACTCCTTGTGACTTGTGATTTCCAATGAAACTACATTGTTCTTCGTTATTGCTATTCCTTTGTCTCACACCTCTGTTTGCTGTCTCTATTATGCATTTCTTCTTCTTTCTTCCCTATTTCTGTGTGCTACACAGAATGTGGCGACTTGAACTGCCGCACATATGTGCAAAGTTCTATGTCGAAAACCTACCGACCGGTAAGGATATGCCGCTATCGTTAATCAAACTTGCAGGGGTCTTTCGTTTCAGCATACTTGTTACACGTAGAGAGAAGGCGGTCAGTTATAACTTAAATCATCGTGATCATATCAGATGTTACGTCTGACTGTTTTAAAGGTATTCCATCAACTTTTCTACTAAGATAGAATACACCTGTTGTGACGTTTGACTAACTGACTGACTGGTTTCAACAAAGAACTTTACACCAATGTGCAGCACAGTTCATCGTTTAATACGAAGATGGAAAAATAACACTTAACTGTATATTAATTAGGCTAATCTCTCACCTTTGAGATTCTTCAATCGTCCCTGCATAGTGTTTAGCATCTCAAAGTTGTCACCTCAAGTTGATAACACTACCATATGAACGGTTCTTAATAATGAGCTGAGCTATTCAGAATGATGAAGAGCACTTATAGCTTCAGGTTAATTTTCTATTTTTGATTTCCGGTTGAATTCTGCTTGAATAACGTTACATTTAACGTAAACAATGTTAAGCATCGTTTTCCGTTCACCTTCCTTCGTTAGTAAAGTGGCTTAACTTTACATTTAATTTTATTTTTGCCTGATTTCACTTTCACGTAATTAGTCAATCTGTAGATATCTAGGTGCGTTAGGTATGTTGAATTTTCAATTATACAGGAAGGAAATTAGTTACACAGTATTTATTATCTTGTTTAAATGAGTTATTTTTAGTTTATACATACATAATTTCATCATCGCCTCACTTCTTTTGAATTGCATTGAATTATGGGATGGACCGTAGGGGAGCTAAGAGTCCGCGCATACGTTGGACTGATAAAAAGGCACTAAACGATCTCAACATTGAGGATGATTTGAGTCTCATATATCTCTCAAACTTAAAGAGCTTTAGACGAAAACCAGCAAGTTGGCAGGAGTAGTCTAAGTGGGAAGAGGTGGTGAAGATACCTAAGGAACTACAAGAATCATCAATCACTACCAACGGTGAAAATCTAAGGGAGCTCACTTTTCCCATATTTTTTTATCTGAACCGCCAGCATCTTTTCATCTACAGTCAGTACAGATAAGCATTTCAAACGTGGGACGAGAAAAAATACGCACACCTATGATACTGTGAAATCATGGTGTGAACAAGACACATATCTTTGACATAAATGTATTTCTACAGGGTTTGGTAACTTGGAGCATCACAATAGACATTTCTAACAGACTGCAGATTTCCATCAGCAGATGAATTCTCCTACTGGATAATGTAAATAAGGGGGTTAGAAAGAATAAGTTACAAGAAACTCTGTTAATGACCTAACTAAGAACCCTTGCCTGACAAAATATGCCTGAAGAGGTTGTCGAGTGACGTCACATGCCGGGCATGCTTTCGCTTGGAACCACATTAGGAAAAAACGATTTGGACGTGCGTGTTTGAGGTCGATATGGATGAGATCGTGTGTGTTTATGAAGTAATAGGTTATGGACAATCGTAAGGCAAGCTAAAAATGATTTCACAAAAAATACCCATCCAGACATGAATATAAGAACAAACAGTTCAGTGAAGAGTCCCTTATTGGGGCGAATTCATTCACATAGCTGTACAATCGTAATTATATATAATTATTTGTGAGTGTGTGTGTGTGTACATGAGGTTTGTCAAGTTTAGATAACTAATTAGGTAATACAATAATGATCTAATATAGAAACAAGGCTAGTTAAACAGCAACTAAAGTAAGATTGAGTTAGTAAGTTAGATGACGTAATATAATTGAGGTAATTACAGGTAGACACTAAGTAGGAGTGAGTTAGAGAATAATGTCATTTAAGTTAGGACTAAAACTGAGTAAATAAATTGGATGACGCAACATAAATGACTAGAAATTGAGCGTTGGTCAAGTCAGTAACAGTGGTATTAAGGTATAGAAATGAAATCAGGTGGGTGTAGAGAGCAGGAAAACTGAAAATGTAAAATATTACAGTTGAAAGGATCAAATAATATGAATGAAGAGACAGAAAGAAATAGAATTTACCTGACGGGTATTAAGATAGATTACGTCCATTGCAGGTGTAGTGGTTGAACGAACTTCTTCTGTATACAGAGTTCAGGACTTAGCAAGTGAACTGCCATTGCTTCTGCAGTTTGAAGAAGTTTGACTCGTACACTTTTAGGACGACTGCTTCATGTTCTGTAGACGACTGTGATTTTTGATTGGAGTGTAGCTTGGTATCCGGAATCTAACAGATATTCTAAGATTAGTAAGTCTCGATCAGGGTTACATCATATGAAGGACGTCCTGAAAAATAAGGTCTCAATGAAAAAGCATGGAGACAAGTGTCCAAAATGAATTATGTAGTAGGTAGAAAGAGTGAATGATGGGTAAGTCAGGAAAAAGATGTTACTAAAATGGCATACAAAAATTCAAAAATAGTATTAATAACGAAATAGTTGAACTTGGAATTATACCCAAGGTGGAAGGAAGGAATGGAGAAGTTTCTTCTGTGTACACAAACCAGGATTTTCTATCTGAATTGCTAATGTCTCGGCAATAGAAAGTATGTGTAAGCTTACCGTTTTCACGAGGCTTCTTTTGAATTTTTAGACGACTTTGAATAAATTCTCCTTACATACTGAGTGACCAGTATTGATCACATGTTCAATTATAGCACTCTTTATTGATCCACTGTTACGTTTTCGTAGCTAGGTGGGGTAATGTTCTTTAATTTTTTTTTTATTTAAAACACACGTTGAATTATTTCAGAAAAAAAGAGTGAAATGGTGACGTACTGCTGAAGGCTTATGTCTTCTTGGAATCGCGTTGTTGCTGAAAATGTGAATTTTATTCAAAATGAGGGATGCACCTTTCAAATTCCATCTTATCTAAATCATTAATGTTCATTTGTGCCTTAATTTTCTGTTTGTTAAATTTATTTCAAAAAATCCCCAGCCCCTACAGCAATTAACAACTTCAGTTCCCCTATAGTCCTCAATACAATAAAGACTGACAGAGGGAAAGTCAGCCGGACAGCCGGCTTGATGATAAACAGGAGTTAACGCATAATTAATTTCCTATTCAGCTGGGGCATTACCCATGATACAGTAAAATGATGACTTTGTTAACAGTTTGTTGTTTTTCATAGCTTAGCTGGTACAACGTCAAACTTTTCACTCCCAGGCTGCTAGATCGAGTTCTACCGCGTAACTCAGATGTTCATTTCACCTTCAATCGTCATCATATATTACACATTAATTAAGGAATCAAACTGTTGTTTAATATTAGAATTTTACTTTTATTTTTGTACTAATTGTTTTATGTGTATTTTATTTTAAACCCTTTTTTATCTAAATACAGGGTTACCTTGCTGGTTTAACATTTACCAGTGGTTATATACAAACTAGTGAAGAATTACGTTGCCTGCCTAATTGTGAACCACGTTTATTTATAAATGATCCAACATTTGCTACAAAAACTGATCGTTTCGATACAACAAGTGTTCGGAATTCACATTTAAATAGTATTATTATACAAGCGAAAAGTTTGAATGAATTAACAACTCTTCTAAGAAAAGTAACCTATTATAATCCAAGACTACAATATAAACCAAGATATCGACCTGAACCAGTAGCTATCCAATTGAATACAATGTTCACGTAAGTTTTGCACAACTTGTTTTGTTGTCATCATCAGAGTGAATCATGGGTGCTATGATTTAATAGATATTTAAATAATATTTAAGTGTATATTTTGTTACTAACCGAATCAAGTTAGAGCATCATTGAAAATCAAGCAGAACTGGATAGTTGTTTCATCCTGGCTCTGGACTCTTCAGCTGAAGCTGATAGGATTGCCTCGTAAATGGAAGATCTTGTATTCATTCTTTGACGGGAAAATGGATGTTCACGGCTGAAAAGTTTAAAGCTAAGAAGAAGCAGAGCTGGTCAGTGCTCCTTGCTTTGGAATAATTTTCTAAATTGTGTCGGTTCGTGATGGAATCTAAGTGCCGACAAAGCCTGGAATTTTAATATAATAATAATAATTGTTCCCTTGGGTTCCGAGTAGAATATAGGGCTTCAACAAAACGTCTCCACTTTGTTCTATTTCCTGCTGCTCTGTTCAGCTGGGCCTATGATTGACCATAATCTCTCATCTCCTCTTCGCACGACCTCCTCCATTTCACACTGGCACCGACGACCCACTCTTCGCTTCCCATTGAGATTTCACCCGGGAGATGACCTGTATTGAGCACGATTTCATTCGACGGTCTCCTCAGTATGTGCCTGATCCATCGCCATTTCTTCTAGATATCTGTTGAGCAGTCGGCTCTTCGTTGGTTTGTTCCCAGCTAAAGTTTCTTGTTGCTAGTTCTCTCTGGCCAGTCGGCAATTTCATCTTCAGTATAGTGTCAGAGAATGTGGGAGCTGTCTGAAGTAGCCTATTGGAAATGCTTTTCGTGAAGCATTCGCCAAGTTTCTGACTCATAGAGAAGAACTGACTGACTCAACATTTGTGTTGGAAATCCAAATCTTGTTGTTTTTGCTGAGTGAGTACAGAAGATTTTCAAACCGTTTTTACATTGATGAAGGTGTGCCTTACCCTTCACAATCTGCCTGGCTTTGACATCTTTATCCGTTCCTTCGCCAGAGGTTAAAACGATGCTGCCTTTTCAGATAAATGAAGGAAGTAACCTCCGTCCAAGCTGTCCCGTTGATGTTGGTTGCTGCTTGTTGGTTGTTTATCTTCATCACCTCCGTCTTTTCTATGTTCACCTGGAGTGTTGTCTTCACTGGCTGCTTCTTCAGCCAGCTTTTTGGTTTTTGCTTCAATTTCTTTGAGTCTGTGTGACCCGAAAACTCAGAATACAAGTGTAATTTTAATTTATTCCACGCTTTCAGTCTTTTCGAGGACTGTTGAATCTCTTCTCTACGACAGTTCTAATTTCCTTCAGTATTTTCTCAGTTCAATGTACAGTTTTTTTCAAATATAACGGCTCACTTAGATGATTTCGGTGTAATTGTGTTTCCTGAGCTGGTTGGTCTACTTGCAATGCTTTTATTGGTGCATTCTCTAGTTATATTGACGTTAGAAATTTGTATACATTATTAGATATATGTTGATATGAAGTAAATGACATCGATTTTTATTGATGTAGGTGGAAACTTAAGGCATCTGTAATTCTGATTGGTTTAAACCTTATTAAGTCCCATTTTCATTGGTCAGTGAATCTTTTGATGTTTAAAGTACCAATTCAAGAGATTTCGTTGGTATTATGAACGCGAGAGACGCAAAAAGCTTAAGTATTCCAATTTCTTTGGCTAAGATACTTTTCATGTAAATTTGATATGATATTTTTGTAGCTGTCAAACAAATAAGTCACTCTTATTGGAAATCAATGTAGCTATCCAACTCTGAATAGGTTAATTGACATTATTATGCTTTGTGTAGGACTTTTCGACTGGTTTTAAATATTGAAAGGAGTTAATTTGTAGGTAGATCTGTTTGATTTGGCTTCGGTTCTTGATAGCACTTCATCAGCAACGTGTATGTATAGTCATGATGAATTTCATGTCCTCTTTGTGGTCGAGTTAAACTTTGAGCACCAGTAAGTACCAGTGGTGTGCTACCGCACCAATGACCTTTAAGTGCTCAGTGAGCAAGCTCGTAAAACCTGGCAAATAGTATTTTAATCATCAATAAAATATGCTCAATGAAATGTTGTGATATTAAACGAGTTATCTGATAAGTTTTAGGTTAGGTTTGAGAAAGATTAAATTAAGGTTCAGGATAAGAACAGGTTTATTATTATCCTTTTGCGTTCCGAGTGGAACATAGGGCTTCAACAACACATTCCCACTTTGTTCTGTTTTCTGCCATCCTCTTCAGTTGGGTTCACGATTGACCAAACTCTCTCATCTCTTCCTCACTTGATCTCCTCCATGTCACCCTACGACGATCTACTCGTCGCTTCCCATTGGGATTCCACTCGATTCCGGCGTGCGATGTCATTCAGTGGCTTCCTCAATGTATACCCGATCCATCTCAACTTCCTCCCGCATATTTGTTGAGCGATTGGCTCTTGGTTGGTTGGTTCCCACAGTTTCTTTTTGCTTATTCTTTCTGGTCATTTGATCTTAAGTATGGAGCCAGCGAAGGCAGCTGCTGATGAAAGTCTGCAACAGGTTGTTGGAAATCCTTTTCGTGACACGTAGTGTAAGTCTGTGACCCGCAAAGAAGGACTGACCGACTTCACATTGGTGTTGAAAATGTGAATCTTGTTCTTTATGCTGAGTGCGGAAGATCTCCAAACTGGTTTCAGATTGATAAAGGCGTATATTGCCCTTACGATTCCGGCCAGTTTTGACATCTTCATCCGTCCCACCTGTAGTTGAAACGATGCTTCCCAGATAAGTGAGGGAGGTAACCCCTGTTAAAGCTATCCCGTTGATGGTGATTGATTCCGGTTGTTGTTGCTGTTGGTTGGTTATCTTCATCACCTTCGTCTTCTCTGTGTCCACCTACAGTCCTGTTTTCGCTGCCTCTTCAGCCAGTTTATTGTTTTTCGTCTGCAAGTGTTCGAGTTTGTATGACATCAGACATATATGAGGACTAGTTAGGGTTAGGTTAAGCTATTAAAAGTGATATTAGGGTTAATTTGAGTTAGATTAGTGTTAGTTTTGGGGATATTTCCACGTTAAGGTTAGGAGACCTAGATAAATACTTGGACAATATGTGGTTAAATTAATCTGTTGGAACTCTAGTCCAAAACTGACAGACATGTGTATTATTCACAAAAATATCCCTTATCATTTGATTGGTGCATTGACGGTCATGTGTCCGTTGCCACTTACTGTGGTGCGTAAAGTTTAATTTCGTCTACTATCTTGTGTCACTCACTACTGATGTTAGAATAATCGAATGGATAGCCATGTTCTTGACGATCAGCAATTCGTAATCTTTCTTCTCCGTAAACCTTTTGTGCTACACCATATCTATGCCCTTTTGAGCAATGTTCATTGTCAACATATCTTATTGTCTCTTGTACTGATATTGTAGAAATTAGGAGTATGGTCAATTTAAGTCATTTTTTTACACGCCTGATTTCTGAATTTCGTCGAATTGTTTCTCATTAAAAAGTGTTGATTACTTTGCCTTTTTAGGGTTGCCTACTATCGCCAATGATTTTCCTGATTGCAGTAGATTGGATAATGCGGGCAATGAGGAAACAGGCATAAAATGTACTCACACAAAAAACTTGGAGGATCTGGACTTCGCCGATGATATATGTCTGATTTCCCACAAACTGGAAGATATGCAAGTCAAAAGCAACAAGTTGGCAGAAGAAGCATCCAGAGAAGATAGAACTTCAGGTGAACATAGAGAAAACAGAGGTGATGAAGATTCCTGGGCAACACCATCACCAGCAACAACAACAACAGACAACAATCAGCATAAATGGGAGGAACCTGAAAGAAACGACCTCTTTTACCTACCTGGGAAGCATCGTTTCAACTACAGACAGGCGGAACTGACGAGGATATCAAAGCAAGGATCGGGAAAGCAAGGCAAGCTTTCACTACTCTCAAGTCTGTGTGGAGGTCAACAGCAATCAGCGTGAAAATGAGAATAAGATCCGGATTTTCAACTCCAATGTGAAGTCAGTCACTGCTACTATACGGATCAGAGACTTGCACTGCGCGTCATAAAGAGCATCTCAAACAAACTACAGACCTTCATTAACAGTTGTCTTCGCTCAATACTCAAGATCAGATGGCCGGCCAGAAAAGATCAGCAACAGAGATCTCTGGCAATGAGCGAACCAACCAGGAACCGATTGTGAAACAAATAGGCAGGAAGAAATGGAGATGGATTGGCTGGCCATACTCTGAGGAAACCATCAAGTGACATCACTAGACAAGTCGTCGAGTGGAACCCGAGTGGGAAGCGGCGAGTTGGTCGTCAGTGCGAAGGTGGGGTGACTTGGAGGAGGTCATGTGAAGAGGAGATGAAGACGTTTGGGCAGACATGGAGCCAGGTGAAGACTCTAGCAGAGAACCGAACGCAATGGAGACGCACGGCTGAAGCCCTATGTTCCTCTAGGAATTAAAGGAAACAATAATAATAAATTTGATGTTGACCGAAAGTCTGTCGCAGGTCCCATAAGTCAGTGCTATTCAGCAGCTACTCACATGTCTGTACAGCTATTGCTACTATAACGAGAGAAGATAAGAGACTGGGTAATGAACAACATTTATTAAGGAAAGCACAAAATTTATACATTCCTAGCCACACTGAACTTTGCCTAGGTCAGAGGATAATAAGTTCTTCTAATTGGTTGACAGCTAACCCAAGGTTAAACAAGTTGTTCAATTAGGTTATTTCATGTCCATGGCGTAAACTAGTTCCAGATTTGAAGAATAGACACTTCTATCTCTTCAGCCAGCCATTGACTTAAAATGTTAATCTTAATTTCGGCTGTTTCCTATCAATCTGCATCATGCCACAGTACTATCTGCTTGTCCACCCGAACCGTGGTAGGTTGGACTGGATCCGAACCTATGAACGGGTGGTCGGAAGTTATTCAAGCGCCTAGACACATCAGCTACAGCTCCGTTTTGAAGGTGTTTTACGGTTTTTTCTTCTATTTGTTTTCAACAATTATAGCTTAGAGTTTGTGTATTACTTCCTTCGTCAGTAGCATATCAGTAGTCATAATGAATAAATAAGAGATAAAAATCAAGGATTTCAAAGATAGTTGGGGAAAATCTGTAAGCCTTAAAATGGTCCGTTGGGTAGCCAACTTCGAGAAATAGTGAATTCCAGAACTTTTCAACCATAGCTGTTGAATATTTATCTGATTACGAAATCCTCCAACACTGAGATATACTTCGGAACTAAAACAAAAATATATGAACTTCAAATGAAAATAGCTTTTGTTTCAATTCTGATCACGGATTGACATCAGTTAGAGAGCCATTGAAAACCAGCATGGAGTATTGGACAGCGGTTTTGTCCTAGTTTTGGACCCACGGGGTCCACCACCATGTCAGGAGTGAAGATAAATACTCGCTACCGGTGACAGTGGCTGATGTTAGTCGCTCTCATCGAGTCGGGTCTCAGTGGCTAAGTGGTCTACGAGCCGGCTTGATTGGTAACCAGAAGACCCTGGGTTTGAAACCCAGTGGTTGCGTGCTGCCGACGAGTAGTTCGGAGCACTAGGATGAAACATCTGTTAAGCCTTCCCTGGAGGCTTTCAATGGTCCCCTAACTGATATCAATCCATGATCAGACTTCAGACAAAATCAAATTCTTACATACAAAGTCATGATAAACAGCTTTGTCGAAGTTACACGCATCGTGGCCAATAGCAAGAGAATTTGAGGCATGCATTTTGTCTTGTCTAAGATTCATTAACTGGTGAAGGTACATATAGTCGATAGATGACGAATCATCTGTCATGAATATTCCACTTCCAGCTTATACTAGACAAATACCTTCCAATTGTTTCCTCAACGTGATCTTGAGGTAAATGTCTAATGTTGGCAGATACCAAACAGGGAATTGCAGACGTGGACGAAACAAAATAAGCTTCATTTAGCATTTTTTTAAAAGCATTACATAGCTAATCTGCATAGACAACCTTGAATTAGTCATTTATTTTCACAAAATAACAAATACTTCTTTCTATGTCATATGTCTTTATGATCCATTTATGGTAAAATTGTCCTTCTTATGTATCCATTATAACTAACAGAACAAGCTACATAAAATGTTACAAGTTTCATTGTTCATTTTGTTTCCGAATATTGAAAAAAAGCGGGTAATTAGGTGTAATTCGATATTGATTCATTTAAAAAACATTGAAAGATAATTTATTTTATCTTTTTTTTGTTTATATTTTATGTGTGTACTTTGTCTCCAAAGCTAACCAGATTTGTATACTGACTGTTACAGTAGTCCATTACTGAACTAAAAAACAAAACGTGATAAAAGGCATGAATTCATTTTTATGCCTATTAGTTAAGTGTAATTTTAACAATTTACAATTGAAATGTGGTACACCATTCGTTTTCACATTGTGAGAAAAACCTGGATAGGAAAATCCAGATATAATTGTCCTACATTTCAGATTTCCAAAACTAATGTCAAGTCACTTATTCTACATATGGTTGAGAGACCATAGCAAGTCATGAAAAGGATTTCTGACAACCTGTTGCAGACTTTTATCAACAGCTAACTTGTATTCATACTATGAATCAGATGGCCGGTTGGCCGACTATCGACCAAAGGGCGTGTGTACTGCTCAGCAGTCCGCTCTGTCCTCCTTTATGGCTGTGAGACCTGGCCATTGAGAGCAGAAGACATGAAAAGATTAGCTGTCTTTGATCATAGGTGTCTGCGTTCTATTTCCCACGTGAAGTGGTATAATAAGGTGAGCAATATTGAGGTAAGGCGTCGAGTGCTGGGTAAGGAGGGGAAATCAGTCGACGAGACTGTGAAATTAAATCGACCGAGATGGTTAGGACATGTGCTGTGTGTGCCTAGTCATCGCCTTCCTCAACGGGCAATGTTAGCTGATAGAGTGTCAGACTGGAAAAGAGCTAGCGGCGGTCAAACCAAAACATGGCACCAGTCAATGAAATCTACAGCAGTTAGTTTAAGCCACGTAGGAAGGTATATACTTCCTGGTTGGGGTCCTCGGGACGGTAAAAACCAATGGTTGCAAACGATTGGTGACATGGCTCAAAATTGTTCTCAGTGGCGCAGACGCATGCACTCCTTGTGACTTATGATTTCCAATTAAACTGTTTTGTTCTCCGTTATTACTATTTCTTTGTCTCACACCTCTGTTTACTGTCTATATTATGCAGTTCTTCTACTTTCTTCTCTCGCTTTGTGTGCTACATGGAGTGTGGCGACTTGAACTGCCGCACATATATGCAAAGTTCTATGTCGAAAACCGACCGGCCGACCGATAACTTCTCATTACATCGTCGTGATATTTATTGCCCAACTAGTAAGAGATTCACTGGATTTTAAGTCCTATCTCACAGCAGGAACAAATCATTTTTCCAACCCAGTCATATTTGACAAAAAATACCTCGATACAAACTTTATGATGATTGGTGCTCTATTGTGCATGTTGCCATCAATAATTTATTTGGTTACTGGATCTCATCATGAGCTGACATTGGTTAGAGAACCATTAGAAAACCATCTCTCTCTCTCTCTGGATTCAACATAGAACTTGGCACCGAAGTGCAGCAGTCCGAGTTACCACGTTCCAAATAGCACACAAAGGTAGTCAAGAAGATGAGTGAAGAGAATCAATAGAGTTTTGACAAGTTTAAGAGTGAAACATAGTGAGTAATGGTAGAAAGGAATATGAAAGATTACAGAGACTGAATACATCTGCGCCACTGACAACGGTTTTGAGCCATGTCACCTACTGTCTCCAGTCATTGATTCTTAGAGTCCCGGGGGCCCCAACCCGGTAGTCTACATCTCCCTACCTTACCCAATTTAACTGTCAAGGATTTGATGGGTTGATACCATGTTTTGTTTGTTTGTTTTGGGTTGGGAAACCATCACTGGAGTACTGGACAGCTGTTTCGTCCTAGTGTCTGAAACTATTCATCAGTACGCACCCACTACCAAGGATTCGAACCCAGGACCTTCTGGTTACGAGGAGAGCAAGCTCGTAGGCCATTAAGCCACTGGGACCCAATCCAATGGCCCATGAATTCCAACTTCTTTCAATTCACAACATAACGCGACCACCAGCCAATGTCTTTGACGAGTATTTCTCCCCACACCCGACCTGGAAAACTTATTTATTTTTTTACTAAAGCGTCGCAGCAAAGAAATTTGGCTTATATATCGACTACTCCTTTCTGTTCACTCTTGTTTCATTGATTTGTGTTATAAGTGCTGTTTACCACTTTTCTTTTTCTTGTATGCTTTTATAGTTACTCAACTGACTGTGAAATGCCGTCTACACTAAATCAAGTTATCTTGATTAGTCCAATGCCACCGACAAAGCACACATTATCTGTACTTGATGCATACAGTAAGAATGCCTACACAGACCGACGTCATGACAACAGCCATCCTAAGAGTTATGAACAACATCACCACCAACAACAACAACAACGACAGCAGTATAACAATGAACAAGTACACCAAAGACCTTTTAGAAAGTCGTTAACAACAAGTAATGAAACTCAACAAAGTTCGCCTCCTCATCGTCCCCACCGAAATGAAATGTCTTCTTTATCTGATATTTCATTAATCTTATCCAATACAAGAAGAGATGAAATCGTCAATCAAACATTCACCTCAAGAAAGATTGATTCAGATAAACTGTCGTCAGGAGTTGCAATTTTTCCTGATTTAATGTTATCTTGGAAGGTATCACCTGAGATGATGAAATCATTTAATATATGTAAGTAAAATAATTTAATAATCCCCAGTGTAATATTGACTACATAATATACAGAAAATTGAGTCTTTGAACTATATATATTCATACATTTGTGCTTATCATTGTTAGGATTAGTTGGGTGGAAGAGATCAATCAAGTTTTCTAGAATAGAACTTCCCAAAGTCTTCCTTTTTTCCTTAGAAAATCAAGCTGGAATATGCTCAGCTATCTGTGTAGAAAGCTCTACCCGACTTCAGCTGCTCTACCTTCAGGTGAAGTGGCAAATACATGATCAGGCGGCCAGATGAGGTAGACGGTGCGTCGGTGGCACATTGGCTAGGATTCTTGCCGACCATGCTCATGGTCTGGAGTTCGGTCGCCTGCCAACGCACACCCAATATCTATGGTCGGACTGCAAAATTTGGGCTACCGATATCCATGCTGAAAATTCCATACTTGTACTGAAAATACTGTGTGGTATCAAGCTGTAATCAAAACAAAAAATAAAAATTTAAAAAAAATAAAATGAAGAAATGCTTAGATATAGAGATTGGCTTCTTACCAGAGCACACTGTCAGCTTAGAGTTTACAAATGATAGTGACCTCCTAAGTAAAAGAGCTGAAGGAATTTAACATAAATCCTTGAATATATGACATGCGATTCGCTTTTCTTAAATATAAGATGATGTTACAGGATTGAACTATACCGACTCCTAGTTTAAGGATACGGAGTGGAGTGGTTGAGTAATTTGATCACTTCAGTTATTTGTATGGAGTTGCATGAACCATAATTGAATGATTACTGATAAAATTTCAGCGCGGAAACAATAATCTCAGACGACATACGTCAATTTACTCCATCGCTGCAGTAGACGTGATATCCGGCCATCGATCAAATGAAGTGTAGACTGGGCATCAACTCTCTTTATCCTTTATGGCTGGAAGATATGAAAAGGATAGCTGCCTTTGACCGCAGATGCTTACACACGACCTCCCGTGTTAAGTGAAATAATATAGACAATAATATTTAGCTTAGGTGTATTGTTATGCGACAATGGTAAGTCAATCACTAAGGTGATGAAGCTACATCGATTGGGACGCACAAGACACACGTCGTCTATGCGAATCCACCACCTTCTTTGACGAGTAATGTTAGCCGACATTGGATGAGGTTGTAAAAAAATTAGGTTCAGTTAAATCAAAACCCATCATCAGCCCATAGAATCTTTCACAGTTAGTTTAAACCATGTTGCTAGGTGAAGACTGAGTGGTTAGGAACATTTAGGTGCTGAGAATCAATGACTGGAGATTATTCATGATATGGCTCAAAATTGTTTTAATTGTCGTTGATGTATTCACTCCTTGTGATCTCCCACATAAATATTAAACCCTCCTTGTTTTCTATGTTCCTACTCTTTCTTTCCCTTGCACATTTCCTCTTTTTTGATTCTTTTTAATCTCTCTTTTCTCTACCTTTGAGATGACTCACTTTTATGCAAAGTTCTATATTGACAATCACTTAGTTCAGTGAATCATTGAACCGCTGAAATATGTTACACAACAGAAAGGTGCAGCAGGTCGAAGGTGAAGACACTGGTATGTGATGGCGCTATGTCGTGAATTGAGAGGAGTTGGAATTCATGCACTGGCCATTGGATTAGTTCCCAGTGGCTTAATGATCTACAAGCTCGCTGGCCTTGTAACCAGAAGATCCTGGGTTCGAACCCTTGGTATTGGGTGTGTACTGATGAAGAGTCCTAGGTACTTGGACGAAACAGCTATTTTTTCCAATGGTTCTCTAACCGATAACAGCACATAATGAAATCCTCCAACCAATCAAACAAAATCCCTACAAACCAATAATTGACAATAGAGCCTCCGTAAACTACTCACATTTCATCAGTACAGTGCAGAGAACTTGATTATACCACTACTAGAGAAGGTGTGGAAAGAGGGCAAGGTACCTGCGGACTGGAAGAAAGGCTACTTATTCAAACTGCCAAAGAAAGGAGACTTAAGTCAATGCAAGAACTGGCACGGCATTATGCTCCTGTCGATCGCAAGCAAAATACTAAGCCGCATCATCCTGGAGAGAATCGAAAACGCCCTGGATGAAAAACGTCGGCCGGAACAGGCTGGATTCAGGAGAAACAAGTCATGCATCGATCAAATCACAACACTAAAGGATCATCACTGAACAGAGCTTGGAATAGCAATCACCTCTCTACCTCACTCAGCTTCATCGACTTTGAAGAGGCCTTCGACGGCGTCGATCGAGATGTGATTTGCTAATAACTTCTCTACTACGGAGTGCCGCCAACAATTACACACCTCATCCAACAGTTGTACGACAATGCTGCATGCCGCCAAGTAATCCACAACGGGAAACTCACGGAATCCTTCGAAGTGAAGACGGGAGTAAGACAAGGCTGGCTGGTTGTCTGCCTACTATTTCCAATGATTCTCCCGATTGCAGTAGGCTGCATAGTGTGGCAGACAGTGAGCAACGAGGAAACAGGCATAAAATGAACCCACACAAAGAACATGGAGAGTCTGGACTTCACCGATGATATATGTCTTATTTCTCACAAACTGGAAGATATGCGAGTGAAAAGCAACAAGTTGGCAGAAGAGGCATCCAGATAAGATAGGAGTTCAGATGAACAGATAGAAAACAGAGGTGATGAAGATTCCTGGCCGAAAGCAACAGCAAATATAACAGACAACAATCAGCCAGCATAAATGGGAGGAGTCTTAACGAAGCAACTTCATTTACCTATCTACCTGGGAAGCAACGTTTCAACTACAGGCGGACGGAACTGATGAGGATATCAAAGCGAGGATCAGGAAAGCAAGGTAAGCTTTCATTACTCTCAAGTCTGTGTGGAGGTCAACAGCACTCAGCATGAAAAATAAGATCCGGATTTCAGACACCATTGTGACGTCAGTGCTACTATGAGGATCAGAGACTTGACGCGTCACGAAGAGCACTGCAAACAAACTCTAGACCTTTATCAACAGCACAGGATCGGATGGCCAGAAAAGATCAACAATCGTGAGGGATCTCTGGGAACGAACCAACCCATCAGGAGCCAATTGTGCAACAAATATGTAGGAAGAAATGGAGGTGGATTGGCCATACTATGAGAAAACAAACCATCAAGTGACATCTAACACCAGACCAACGCTCTCGATTGGCAAGTTAGTCGTCTGTGGTGGGGTGACGTGGAGGAGGTCATGTGACGAGGAGATGAAACCATTTGGGCAGAGGTGGAATCATGTGAAAACGTTGGCAGAGAATCAAATGCAATAGAGACGTGCCGTTGAAGCCCTATGTTCCTCTAGGAATTAAAGGAAACAATAATAATAATAATTTACTTCACTTTCAAGTATATTCATCATCATCATCATTTTATCCTACACATGTTATGCAAAAACAAAACAAAACGAAAAAGAAAAGCAAAATCAATCTATTTTTCCAATTGCATTTACTTTTTTTACGTCATTCAGTATTGAAAGAAGGCTAAGTGTATTTCCTGTTTTTCCTCCAGTTATATTTATCAAACCATCAAAATCTCTATCCTGTTTTGCATTAGTTATTAGGTCGTTGGTTGGTACTGGTGTTATTGTTGTTGTGTTTGTTTGGTTGTTTGTTAGGTTCTACTATCTAATATACATTTTTGTAATTTAAGCAAAAATATTTTACACACATTTCCTGTATTTAGTTCATTTTTTGTTTTCATAAAATTCTTAGTAATAGTAGTAATAATAATAAGTAGAGTGGGGGGCTGGTGGTGCTGATTAGCATAGCACTGATGTTACCTGCGTAAGACAACAAAATTGAAACAACAACAATCACGAGAGAGAGAATTGCATAGTTTTGCACAAAATCATGAATTGTATTACTATGATTATTAACATTCCTCTATTTTTCTCTAGTGAGATTAGAAATTTATAAATTTTTGGATAATCTAAAATTTGGACAATGATCTTCTATTAAGCTGAATTTGTTTGTTAGATGTCATAATAATAGTGAGGAAAACGATGATGATGGTAGTGGACGTTGACATGAATGTCTACGACTCTTAATTCTGCCTACCTACCCACCTACCTGCCTACCTACCCACCTACTTACCTACCTACCTACCTACCTACCTACCTAACTACCTATCCACCTACCTGCCTACCTAACTACCTACCTACCCAACTGCCTACCTACCTACCCGCCTACCTACCTCCTATTTACCTACATACCTGCCTACCTACCCACCTACTTACCTACATACCTACCTACCTACCCACCTACCTACCTACCCACCTACCTACCTGCCTACCCACCTACCTACCTACCCACCTACTCACCTACATACCTACCTAACTACCCACCTACCTACCCACCTACCTACCTACCTACCCACCTACCTGCCTACCTAACTACCTACCTACCTTCGTACTTATTTACCTATTTGCTTTCTTTCTTATTTACTTCCTTACTTTCCTACTTACTCAGTTACCTGCTAACTTACCTATCTACCTGTAGTGTTATTATCATTTGTTTTCCGTATATTCTGTTCTCATGTATGTAGCATTTAGTTAGTTATAGTTTTGTAGTACAAAATGATGTTGAAAACGAGTTAAGTGTTTCAAGATAATGGCCAGTATGTACCTGTCAAAATCTTGGTGTAAAACTAGTTAGAAATTTAATGCCAATACCTTGAAATATCATTGAAATCTTTATGCTAAATATTGTCAACTTGAAGTACATTACTTCAGGTGATTTATAAAATCTTTGAACATGTGATGTAACAAATAAAATTAAAAAATTTTGGGGTATCAATTATTTGGTATTTATGGGAACATCTTAGTTTTTACACCAGTTGTGCTATCACTAAGGAATGTGTGCAGCTCCTTCAGGAAAGTCAGCTGCTTTGAACTAATTCAGTTTTCTAAGGTGCGCTTAACTGCGTATATATTTCTGATGAACTCACTCCAGAAATAGTGAAACGGCTGCTCAAAGTTTAGATCAGTTCAATCTGATTAACAAGCACTAATAGTTGATGTGGGTGCTATCGAACTACTTATATATTAATCAGTACTATATACTACTGCCTGGGTATACTACATTTTCATTCCAGCACTAATTGTATGCAGAATTATTTTGTTAGTTGCGTTTAACGCAAATTAGAAGTTTTTCTCTGTTTTCTGAGAAATTGAGTTCTAATGGAATCTATTCCTGTGAAATACAGGCCTTGTTGTTTCAATAAAAGTGAAGGCGTTGAGCAAAGATTTACACTTCCCGGCTATATCATTTTCAAGCTGTACAATCGGTATGACATATAGTAAATTTTCCTAGCAACACAAGGAATATTTTCAAAGATGTGTCATCAGGAGAGCATTTGCAGCCTTGGCACTATGGAAAAGCAGCTGAACACTCTGAAAAGAATCCTCCTCGAATATGGCTACCGAGAACGTTTCATTACAAAATCCGTGAAACCCAAACTGCCTGTGCCGATCATTGAAGAAAGCCTTCTTCGTGGCTGAACTTCGACTAAGTTTCTTCATGAAACCAATGATTCGCATGAACGTAAAGGACAAGCTACCACTGTTGGCCTCATCAGTGCGCATCTACCAATTCATCTGTTCGTGTGGAGATAGGTATGTCGACCATACTCAGCGTTTGCTATCCAAACGTATCATTGAACAACTACCTTCATGGTTTTATAAAGGGGGAAAAGATCCCCTCGACCGCAGCTCTATCCTGGAATACCTGTTCGAATCTGGACCCCAGAATATGTAGGAATCTTGCTAAAAAAACATACGAAACAAACTTGTTCAAACTGCAGAATAAATGGCAATTCACATGTTAAATCCTGAACTGTGCATATCAAAGAAGTTTGTTCATTCATTAAATCAACAGTCGACGTGGTCTATCTGAACACCAAATTCGTAATTTTTATTTCTTTACTGTATTATTTTCCTCTCTCCTACCCCCTAATAAGTTTCTTTTTCTTAATACCACTGCTTTTACTTGACTCTCGTTTGATTTTAGTCGAATTGTACTCAACGCCTTCAATTATTTTTTTATTATAGCTTGATGCCACACCGTATTTTTGATACATGTATGGAATTTTCAGCATGTGACATCGGTATCCCAGGTTTTGCAGGCCGACCATTGATATCAGGCGTCCATCAGTCGGGGATTGAACCCCAGACCATGTGTATGGTCGGCGAGATTCTTAACCGCTGTGCCACCGACGTCACTCAATTTAATTATTTGATTTGATTTCCTACTGGATTAATGCTCTCTGCATTACGTAATTTGTGATCTAAAATTTACAATTCTAGCGAAACACCTTGGGAAATATTTCTTTTGTGACTAAGAGAGAATGATTTCTCCGAAAAGAAGAGTAAGTCTTCGCTGAACGTCCTCTCTTTTATATGACTCATTGGGGATTTTTAAGTTGCTTAATTAAAAAAGGTCAACTCTAATATCAACTTTATTTTGTTTGTTTGTTTTTTCTACCTACGTTTCTCTTTACCTTTCAATATTAGCTTCAGTCTTTCAACAAACAATTTCAACATGTTCAATAAATTTATGCAATAATAATAATAATAATAACCATCTATCGAATTTTGATGGACATCTATTTTTAAATTCAGAACTTTTATATTTGAAACCAGAATATGCAATAAATCGTTTAATAACATATCAACGTTTAAATGGATTAACAATATATGGAAGTTCAGATATATCAAGTTATATGAATGCATTGAAACATGTTCAATGGATATACAAAGATAAGCATATCACCTTAAATAAACGTTGTTTTAATTTAACATGTGAAGCAGCAATTCAAATTTTGAAAACTGATATAAACTTAATGAAAATTAAAAGCAATTCAATACAATCTGAAGTAAGTAAATGAATGACACTAGTTTACGCTTTCAGTAGCTATAGTGATTAGGATTTCTAATTTTATTTTATATTAAAATGTCCGCCTATTGAACATTTAATTTTATGAATTTGATTTCTCCTTTATCACAATTAGGTCAATTAGATCAGAAAGTCGAATGAACACCATTTATCTTCAGGTGCAACAACAAAATTAAGATAAACAGGCTAGCAGTGAAATCCAGAGTACTCCACGTTTCGTCCTGCCTGAGGCTGATTGGCTGGATGGGCCTGCAGCCTATTCAATGAGTTTGGAACTCAGTGCCGATTGTTTAAATCGCCAAAGTGTTATCCAAATAGGCTACTGGGTAACGAGAGCTCTGGTGTTTAAACCTATGAATGAGCGAAACGCGCGTTCTGAATCCCACTGTTAATAATAATAGTAGTAATATTATTAATAGCTTTATTCTGAACAATGTTTGTATAATGTACACAATTTTCACCGAGATTTATTGCATGATATTTCCTCTTCGTTCAGGATCTTCATGCATAAAATTAATTGACAATAGATAGTGTGACACAGTTCTGTCTGAACTGCTGTCTGGATTCAACATAGAACTTGGCACCGAAGTGCAGCAGTTCGAGTTGCCACGTTCCAAATAGCACACAAAGGTAGTCAAGAAAATGAGTGAAGAGAATCAATAGAGTTTTGACAAGTATAAGAGTGAAACAGAATGAGTAATGGTAGAAAGGAGTATGAAGGTTAAAGAGACTGAATACATCTGCGTAAGCCATTGACAACGATTTTGAGCCATGTCACCTATTGTCTCCAGCCATTGATTCTTAGAGTCCCGAAGGCGGGCCCCAACCCGGAAGTCTGCATCTCCCTACCTGACTCAGTTTAACTGTCAGGGATTTCATAGATTGATGAGGCCATGTTTTCGTTTGGCCACCACTTACTCTTTTCCAACCTGCACCTATATCAGCTAGTAATGCCCGTCCGTCGAGGGAGACGATGGTTCGGCATGCGCAGCACGTGACCTAGCCATCTCAATCTATGTAACTTTACAGTCTCTTCGATTGATTTTCCCTCTTTGTCCAACACTCTACGCCTAACGTCAACATTACTTACCTTATTATACCACCTATCATGAGAAAGAGATCGTAGACATCTATGATGAAAAACAGTCAACCTTTTCATGTCTTCAACTCATATTGGCCACGTCTCACTACCATAGAGAAGGACGGAGCGAACTGCTGAGCAGTACACACGTCCCTTGGTTGATAGCCGGATGTCACGCCTACGCCAGAGACTGTGTAAGCTAGCGAAAGCAGCTCGAGCTTCTTGGATCCGTGCTGAGATTTCTTCGCCAATCAGTCCGTTGGTGCGGATACAACTTCCCAAATAGGGGAAGTGGTCAACATGTTCTATCACTTCACTCCCTATCACTAAGCTAGGAGTTGACGTAGTCCAGTCCTGTATCAGCATCTTACATTTTACAGGGGCGAATCGCATGCCAAACATATGAGGATTGATGCTCAAGGTGTTCAGAAGACTCTGCATTTTGTCAGCATCAGGAATATTTATCCTAAGCATTGGGATAAGCTGCCATCTAGGGTTATGCCTTTCCGTATGTTTAGTAGAAACTTGTGAATCAGTGGGTTGTAAATATTTTGAATAATCGCCAAAGTAAACAATACTACTGGAGATCATAGTTTACTGAATTTAAACAAACTGAATAAGAGAAGTTATATGCAGTATATTGATGGTGATTTTTGGTAGCCCTAAGTTTTAAGCGGGCCACCAACAAAAGTTGAATAACACAAAGGTACTATGTTAGTTAGTTAGTCTATTACTTCACATACACCAGATGAACAAAATCTGTAATTAGGGATTTCATTATTTACGATCAAGCACATGACAGATACAAACTCTCAAGGTTACCTATTTCCGTGTGTTAAACTATCCTTGTTTATACACCATGTAACAGATCATATGATAATTGACTAAGTAAATCACACGGATGATTACACAATCTATGCAACAGAATGTAGGAAATATGAACGATTATGTATAATATATTCATGCTTACTTACAACTTGATAATTGAACAAAAGATAGTAATTGTTTTAATGAATATTTTGTGTTAATCACGCGCATAAATTGTGTTATTCTTTCATGGTTTGATAGATGATAGTGAAATGGTGTTTATTTTGTTTGTTTTTGTTTTTATAACTTTTTTATCATAAAAATAAATCAGTAATAATAATAATAATAATGACGAAGCACTTCGGGGAGATGTTAAAATATAGCAGTCATTAAGAGTAATTCGATGTAAGAACGTTGAAAATCACTTTGAAGCAACCAACCATATCATTCATCATGAATGGAATCCAAGTATTGCCCTGTTGCAGTTTACTCTTCATCTAGGTTTTTTTCAGTTCTGTCTACATATTAGATTTTCTATGATGTTTAACTCATTAATTAAGTAGGAAATAAGGCCGTCTGTGTATATGAGAATACAGCTGACTAACTTATTTACTAGTATGAATAAAGCAAGAACAACCGTGATTTGTGCAGAATAAGATGCTACCATCACTGCCTATTTCGTTGGCTTCTCATCAGCTGCTCACAGCTTAAAGATATAATTATATGTGTCATTATATCCTGGCAGTGACATCCTGTTTGTGCGTCGGTGGCACAGAGGTTAGGACTCCCGCCGACCATGTATATGGCCCGAGGTTCGATCCCCCGCTGACGCACACCTGATATCTATGGTCGGCCTGCAAAATTTGGGCTATCGATATCACAGGCTGAGAATTTCATACTTGTACCAAAATACTGTGTGGAATCAAGCTATAATAAAAATTTTTTAATTATTAAGTTTATGTACAGAACAATTCTAGCATACTCGCAATTTCCACATGATGTCAGTTGACAGGAGGTTCCAACACAATGAACATTGCTCAGAAAATTACACTTATATAGTTCTTACGCTGAAAGTAAAAGTTTAAACAAAATCAGTGTGTGGATACGAAGGCAAAGGAGTTACGTAATAAAGACGATAGATGCGTAAGACGATGAGTGACTAATAAACTAGGTAACAATGTACTGAGTTCAGCTCAAATCATAGGGGTAAGAGACAAGCAAAATTACACTCTCAAAGGGGTTGAGGTCAAAGTCAAAGACATGCAATCAATTGAGAGAGTAAAGGCACCCAGTTACCAGGATAATAAAAGACTGAACACATAAATTGGGTTTTAAGCGTTTGACAGAGATTTCTTCAAGAAAACATGAGAAGAAATGAACTGTTCCATCTATTGATAATTTAAAAAGATTTCATGATGTCCACCTCATGACGCGTATTGATGAGATACCTGTTAATGGCACTATTAAAAGTGTTTGTTCAGGAAATCGGAGGTGCGCCCTTTTTTTTCTGTTCTCCCAATGTAACTGCCCTGGCAGATGCATGTAAATTTGTAAACACAGATTTAGCATGAGAATGGTCGTCTTTTATGAAGCAGTCTTATCTCAGGTATCTGTAAACTCGTCTGATAGACTTCTATTGATATTAAAACAGTGAAATGTACATTGGCCCCTATTCATTGAAATGAAATCATTTGTGACCTAAATATCTGAAGCGCAACATTCCTCAGTATAGTGTTGACGGAGTCATACTTTAAATCAGCCAATCATTTTTGTGGTTCACTGACTCACCGTGCTAGTAGGGTTCTCATATAACAACTATCCAAAGACTTACACTGATTGGAATGAATGTTTCACCAGGTCCTATCATGCTAGAAAGATCATTTGGATGGCGATTTGACTAAGAGCAGTTACCATCATAGTGTAATTCTGAGAGTGAAGACCTAATACTGATGAATAAGGGTGTAAACGGGTCCCCTTCGACGACCAGTAAATAACTTATGCTGCCGTCCCACTCTGTAGAGGATGATTAGTGAAGGTTTACGGCGAGAACTGAAATTTCCTACTTACTCTGAAGTGGTCCTCTAGCCGGTGATAAGGTGTTTAAACCGACACAATTCTAAAAGTCACTTTAGTTTAGTCCCAGTACACTATTTATTGCGGAGTAGTTTAATCTATAGTCAAAAAGAACTACTATTTAGTGTCAGTCAGCTCTTTCTTTTATTCTTTTACGTTTCCAGTGGAACATAGGGCTTCAAGCAAGAGACATGAAGTTTCTGTAGCAGTGGTGTTGATTTTTACAGGATGGGATTGCTAACCTCATGCCCAACCTTCCCTCTTTACCAGTCTTATTACTGGCTTAGCGCAGTAAAGGAGTGCTTCCGTGGCCTGGAATCGAACCCCGGACCACCTGCGTGGTCGGCGAGGATTCTACCGCTGCGCAACCGACGCATCAATCAGCTCTTAACATGTTGTAATATCATATTAAAGTGCAACAGTGACATACCACTTTAAATGCACAACCAAATTACATACCAGATCGATAGATTTTCATGTAGGCAAATTAGAATAAATATATATTGCTTGTTATCTTTTAGCTAGTATGTGAGCGTTATTCAGTGATTTGGATAGATATGATAGTGAAGTTACTTACTTGTCCCTGAGCGGTACACTTTCCTATCAGTATAGTGAGCACTGGCTTGTTGAAAATTCTTCATGCACTGGACTGATAATTGCCAACAATTACGAAATTAAGGTTGAGTACGCTTTCTTGCTCACTGCCCCATTTGTAGAATTAACCTTCACAAAACATCATAATAATAAAATATGAGTGGATTTGTTGCTGTTGTTTTTAGATTTCCTTTGACAATTCTAGTAATTAATTATTGTCAAAAGATGGTTTGCGGGGATTTAATCAGTTATAGATTTGATCGCGAGCTGACATCAGTTGGAGAACCACTGGAAAACCAGGAAGTACTGGACAGCTACTTCGACCTAGTCTGGGACTTAGCAGCAGCAGCAGCACACATGCCCTAGGGGTTCGAACTCCAGTTCTCCTGGTTAAATAGTGAGCTCCTAGATTGTTAAGCTACTGGGACCTGAAACAATGGCTAGTGCATGAATTCCAACTCTTGTTAGTGTTCTCTTACCTAACTTGGTGAACTCCGCTGGTTACTAATTCTCTCTAGAGCAAGTTGCTAGTGAGTAACAGATTAATTATCACACGAAACATAAAAAATACATTGGAAATTATTACTGTGTTTAAGAAATATCCGTAAATTGCTAAGTATTGATTCTGTTTACTTTTTAAGATGAATCCCATCTTTACTATTCCCTACTTTTAATTTTTGATCATAATAAATGTGTTAAAAGCAACTATAGTCTGACAGTCTTTGGTTAACCAGAATCATCATTTAGCAGTTCGCTCCTCTCCTTAAAAATCAGTACAACTAGACTTGAGAAGATATGGTGTAGTCCGTCAGCAAATATGGTAATTGTAATTCCATTATGGGTAAAATTTATTTTGATAAAGTCTCACAGTATTCTTATACAGTAATATTTACTGATGACAACGTTTCGAGCACAATTAATTACTGCTCATAATCAAATCAAGACACTACTCACACAACTTTCTAACTTCGTTTATGTAATTCCATTGTTTTTCACCCCTTGATTTGATGATTGTGATAGTAGTATTTTCCATATTTCCAGTAAGAGTGATGAGTCATTCCTATTGCACGTGTTGGGTGTAGACTCGATGAACAATGCTCAGAATTTTAAACCCCTCCCACCCTATTGTGTGGTTGTGTGTTAAAGCATGCAGTGTAATTGCTGAGCTTTTTTCTAAATTACTTATCTTCCTGGGGTCAACCCTTCACAGTCATTGCAAGGTATTTTGTAAATTATATTATTTTGTCTAACTGGGTCAACTGGGTCCTTTAACCTGCAAAATATCTTGCAGTGACTGTGAGGTCAACTACATAGGAAAAACTAGTAGATCGGGAGTAGTAAGATTGTCAGAACATGAAAATTTAGCTAAGGTTAGAATGGTTGACCCCACGAAGATAAGTAATTTAGAAAACAGCTCAGTAATTACACTACATGCATTAACACACAACCATACAATAGGGTGGGAGAGGTTTAAAATTCTGAGCATTGTTCATCGAGTCTACACCCAACACGTGAAATAGGAATGACTCATCACTCATACTGGAAATATGGAAAATACTACTATCAATCATCAAATCAAGGGGTGAAAAACAATGGAACTATGTAAATGAAGTTATAAAGTTGTGTGAGTATTGCTTTGCTATGATTATGAGCAGCAGTAAATTGTGCTCAAGACGTTGTCATCAGTGAACATTACTGTATAATAACACTGTGAGACTTTATCAAAATAAATTTTACCTATAATGGAATTATACTCTACCACAGTGCAAAAGTTCTACTCTTTTATCAATATAGTGATTGCAGAGACGAAACGATGACTTTCTCATACTGATAGACTACTGGAGCAGTATTCGGAAGTTTGGTGGTTTTCAGTCCCATTGGGAACCACCTTAGGTCACATCATTGATTGTGTCACTGGTAGTCGGCTAATTCAAAACTACCTCAGACAGTCAATCTCATTGAACCATCTAAACATACCATGTTAATGCAAATGAAAACTTACCTGGCACAGGGTTCAGGGTGGTCAAGTATGCTCTGACCCCGGGTGGAGGCTCACCATTGCACCTCTGTGGGTTGAAACTCACGACGGACCCTAATCGGGTGCGCTCGGGCGTGTATTTTTTGTCAGTGGGGAGGCCTCCCGGTCCTCCCTTTATTTTGTGCGTCGGTGGCACAGCGATTAGGACTCCCTCCGACCATGCACATGGTCCGGGGTTCCATCCCCTGCCGACGCTCACCCGATATCAATGATCGGCCTACTAAATTTGGGCTACCGATATCACATGCTGAAAATTCCATACTTGTATCAAAAATACTGCGTGGTTTCAAGCTATAATCAGATATACATATATATATACATATATAGAAAATGTCTTCTTTATCTAACCAGTGCTTATTAGTTATAAATATTTCTTTATTTTTTTATCTTTTTAGTTTATTATTGTTCATGAGAAAAATGGTAAAATCGAATCTTTGCATTCACCGACAGCATCCTCATCATCATCATTCGTTGAACCAGGTGCACAACAGCATTCCGTTCGACTAGCTTTGCCCAAGGCACCTCGTTTGTTAGCTAAACGTCATACAAATGAATTCAGATCGGATTTACATCTCAGCAGTCCTGTTTCAAGTAATTGGAATAAGGTATGTTAGTATGTTATTACATAACTTTTGATAAGATATTTCTTTTAACGTTGTAGAGTTAATTGGTTACAGTAAACTGATAGTAGAGGTTTTTGGTTTTGCATTTAAATGTCATACCTGCTTGAAAATATTGCGCATCACCTGCCTGTTCTACGAGAGGATCGTCATCCTAAGAGAAAATGTTCGGTGGCTTGGTATGTATTACGCATGTATCATCCCAGTGGCTTCTATATCGTATAAGGTTTTCTAGCCATAAGACTGTATGAAAAAAGAGGACAGGTGGTTAACCCATGACATGGTGTCATAGGATAAAGGATAGTTGTGTTAGATTAGCACCTGTTAATACATCACAGCTCCTTGGATAGATTCCAAACTAATTATTGGAGACATTATTAGAGATTATTCAGGCTAGTAACCACTGGCGAATAGATTTTAATTTAAATTCTTTCCTTTCTTTCTGAATATAATATGAAGGAATGAACTGTCTCCTACGAATACTCTTGATAAGTATCCTTCCTTATTCTCATTATCCTGTTCTTCAATCATCCTTCTACTTTTAGTGTGTTTTATTTTACGGTGCATTGTTTGATGCACACGTTGTAGCAATTTTAAGTTTAAATAATTATGACTGTCTCCAGTGTTAAGCTGCCTAGTGCAAAACAAACTTTGTATTAGAAATGATTTAGAAGCTTTGCAAATCAAATGGATGATTTAACTGCGAAACTTTCATCGTCTCTCTAAATGACATCTTCAGCGATAACTTCCAGATGAAATAAGCCTTTAAAATTCTCCATGAATGTGATAATCATTTCTCCTGAACCAAATTGAAGGTGAATGTTTTCTCTCCGTTGATATTGTTGACCTCTTTTTTTGTAACAAAGTAAAATCGACTTGTTGATGTCTGAATGCAGGAAATCGATCTTTGAGTTCTCCTGTATAGTTGATCAGGACCTCCTTAAGTTACTCCCATTGGGCCATATCGTTGACATTGTCATTGATAGGCACTTGATGTCATCCAACAAATTTTCCTGGAGGAATTTTGTCACACTGTGAGCATCTACTTTGCCCACAGCTCCAACCTTGTTTCTCCTCAGGTAAAACAAGAAGTCATTTCAAAAGACTTTATGCACGTACGTCTAAGTACGAAAATTCCACTATACCATATTTGGCATGCCCTTTATGTTCATTGGTCAAAACGATATTGTTTTCATTCATTGGGAAATACAAAAACCTTTATTATAATGAATATCATACACCCAATGACCAAATTTTTTAAATGTGAAAAGTGAACTTGTTTTGGACATATATAACGTGGTTTATGTGATGAAAATAGTACTAGATGGTTGGAGGCAATCGGCCACAGGAAGCCTTGGACCTAGGTTTCGTGCTAGTTGGCACTCATCAGCAAGGCGTATCTGCAACCTTGAAGGAACTGATGGCGAGCCACATGACTGATAGAATTCAGTCTGCACCGAAGATAGGACTAGACACATTATACTAGTTACTGACTAGTGTTCAATCAAAAGATGAAAATAGTGTCAAGGACAAACTAGCTAACCTTCTTTGCACTACTAAATAAACTATTTCCTCCATCCTTATCCCACCAAGCTTTATTGTTATTGTTCTTCTTATATTTATAATCCTCGCAATGTTTTGCTTTTATGTGTTTATTTTTTCATAAGTGTGAACATCATTCAACCTCTGTAATAAATGTTATTTTTGTCTATCCCGTCAATATGCAATATCAGCAGAATATTAGATTCACTATTCTATAACATGCTAAAATTTCCAAACTGAATCGACAATACTGCTTGAAACAAACTGACTGTTATTGTTATTTTTATTATTATATTTACTATTCTCATTTTGCACTTCGAATATTTTTGACTTTGTATCGTAAATGTTGACAGATTCCTCTGGTTAATATTATTTTTATTTTATTGATATTTTGAGTAAATCAAATGCAATATTGTCACAAATGCTGAGAATTCCATTCTGTATTACAAGCACTGTCTTTGGAATAAAGTAGATTATTATTATTACTATTATTATTATTAATCACGAAATACCTCAACGACAGCAAAATGACAGTTATTTGCAACAAAATCTAAGGTACTATTCAACAATAATAACATCAGAAACTCAAGATTACCTTAACAATGCCGTTAGGCAGCTACACAGATTCAATAGAGTTCCCCTGAGTACAAAACAAGTACCAAACAACAGAATTATTTGATCAAAATCAATCAAATGAAGTACCTGAGAATCAGGGAGACTACTCCAAGCAGTATGGGATCAAAACTCTATCAGCAAGTACTACAACCCCCACAGGTAGTCCTAGGTCAGGATGACCTTGACCCATTTAAACAAAATTACAGTCGTAAAATAACACATTACCAATATCATCAACAACACAACCACAAAGAGAAGCATTGAAGAGGAATCAAGACAAATGATAAGGATTAAGTCAACAAATGATACACAAATGTCAGAACAATGATAAACAGTCCAAGAGAAAAAAGAGATAATAATTACAAAGTTGGTTGAAACATCGAAATAAGTATCAAGTATTGTAATTAGATCTTTTACGGGGAGGAATTTTCCTAACAATTATCCTGTTACACTGTTCACATATCTGTATATCGATTATTTTGTTTAACTGATATCTGAATGTTTGCCCGTGTGATATCTCTTTCATTTCTTGATAAGTCTTATCTGTATCATGTGAGTACGAGGCTTCTAAGAATTCCCTTTCCTAAGATCTGTACACTTTTCTAGTGGAATGATTGTGCATAGTTGCTTCTATGCATTGAAATGAATGCAATCAGCGGAAGCATATTGATATGGATAAGATTTATCCAATAGTAAAAACGATACTTCAGATGGAAAAAAGTCATGATATCAGGTAAGCGAAACAATCAGTTCTACTATGATTGGACACGACTGTTGGAAAACTCTTCTACTGGGAAAAATGAATCACATACACTATTATCAAGAGAGACAGTTATTTCACTAATGCAGAACTCGAACAGTTAACTTTGTCTTAAGGTTAGCATTGAAGATGTCGCCTAGAAAGACAGTGAAACTTTCACAATCAAAAAAAAATTAAAAAACACCAAACGTTTTCCATTATGGGTAAATTTTTATTTTGATAGAGTCTCACAGTGTTATACAGTAATATTTACTGATGACGTTTCGAGCACAACTTATTGCCCATAATCATATCAAGTTAATCACACGACTTCCTAAATTCATTTATATAGTTCCATTGTTTTTCACTTGATTTGATTGGTAGTATTATTTTCTATATTTCGGGTATGAGTGATGAATCATTCCTATTGCATGTGTTGGGCGTAGATTCGATAAACAAGGATTCAGTAATCAACCTCTCTCTCCACCTATCTAGATTACTTTTTAGAATTTCAACCCTCTCCCACCCTATTGTGTGGTTGTGTGTTAATGCATGCATTGCAATTGCCGAGCTTTTTTCTAAATTACTTATCTTCTCTGGGTCAACCATTCTTACCTTAGCTAAATTCTTATGTTCTGACAATCTGCTAGTAGGATGTATGGTACTATTAAAATACATAAGCCAGGTTACCCCATAAGACCAATAGTAGATTTTAGAAATACCCCTGCATATGAATTATCAAAATATTTAGCTCTAATATTATGCCCCATTAGAGATCGTTCAAATTCTAGACTAACTAATTCATATGAGATGAAAAATAAACTAAATGACAAACAACTAGATAATGATGAAACAATGGTTAGTTTTGATATAACCAGTCTTTACACTAGTATACCAGTCAATATGGCCTTAGAAGCAGTTAAAAAAGAACTAACTGCGGATACTGAACTCAATCATAGGACAAAGCTGTCCATTGAGAAAATTATTTTAGGGATTCAGCTATGCCTCACATCTACTATATTTAAATTCCAAGGCAAAATATATAGACAAACTGAAGGTGTAGCAATGGGATCACCAATATCCCCTATCGTGGCAGATATATTTATGGATAGCTGGGAAAATATGGCACTTAATACGTTTAATCCTACTCCAAAAATATGGTGGAGATATGTGGATGACACTTTCACAGTGTTAAAAACAGAACATATCTCTAGCTTCTTGACACACATAAACTCATTAGTGGAGGGAATAAAATTCACATTTGAAGCCGAAAATGAGCAAGGAGAATTAGCTATGTTAGATTGTAAAATAAAACGAATAGAAGAAGGCAAACTACACACTAGTGTTTATAGAAAACCAACGCATTCTAATAGATATTTAGACTTTAATTCATCTCATCCTTTAACTGTTAAGGCAGGCTTAGTTAAGTGTTTAACAAACCGAGCAGTAGCACTAAGTAGCACAAAAAAAGACCTAAATGATGAAATAAAACAGATAGAAGAGGCGTTGGTTTTAAATAACTATCCTCTAAAATTCATTAGGAAGATTGAAAACGCCAAAAGAAAAATAAAAAGAATTGTGAAACTAGTAATAATAACATAAATAAGAGAGAATATAAGTCATCTACAGTTATACCATATAAAGAGGGGACATCTGAGACCCTACGTAGGATTCTTAATAAAGCAGGAATTAGGGTGGCATTTAAACCTACAAACTCACTCAGGGACAAGCTCTGTAGGTTAAAGGACCCAGTGGACCCAATTAGACAAAATAATATAATTTACAAAATACCCTGCAATGACTGTGAGGTCAACTACATAGGTCGAACTAGTAGGTCAGGGGTAGTCAGATTGTCAGAACATAAGAATTTAGCTAAGGTAAGAATGGTTGACCCAGAAAAGATAAGTAATTTAGAAAAAAGCTCGGCAATTGCAATGCATGCATTAACACACAACCACACAATAGGGTGGGAGAGGGTTAAAATTCTAAAAAGTAATCTAGGTAGGTGGAGAGAGAGGTTGATTACTGAATCTTTGTTCATCGAATCTACACCCAACACATGCAATAGGAATGATTCATCACTCATACC